TTCAGTTAAAGAGGAAAATCACACATATTGCATGAGTGCCACAGGTCCTCCTTGCATATAGTTGTTCTGTTTCTCAATGATCGTAGCGATCAATGACATAATACTTTCTAAAATAAGGTTGCAGTGAGTGTGCCTTTAAATAAGGCTCTTGAAGCTGCTGATGGGTGGAATACTGATTCGAATTTCAAAAAGTTTCAAGAGCTTTTTTTGACAGGCTACATTCACACCCTGCGTAGCAATAGAAACACGTAACCATGCTCAAATACACTACCTATTATCAGCTGGAAGGTACAGTACCCTATTCTGAAGCACCTGCAAAGTCATGTTTGTTTGTAGTGTGAACTGAGGGTTTCCTACAATACATCAGGCATGTGGAAAGTGCAAAATGAGTGATGCCTTGATGCTTTCACTGATCTTTTAAGAGATTAAGTCCAAGAAGAACAAAGTAGACGGCTCAACATTGGCCAGTCGAATCAGAAGTATGGCGAGATGTAGCACCAATCGTCTTGCAACATTTCCTCTGAAAAGAAAAAAACAAACAAAACAACAACAACAAAAAAAAAAAACGAAAAAAAAAAAAAAACGATCTGATAGATCCATTGAGGACGTTTTGTCACTGCAGATTTTACCCTGCTTCTCTCTTAAGGTCAGGTGCAATCTGGGGCCTTTTCTACTGGTTAAGTGACATCACCTCCCAGCTGCTACAAGAAACACACTCACACCACGATCTTGTTGGACAAGAATTCACACCCATTTTCAAAAAAAAAAAAAAAAAAAAAAAAAAAAAAAATCACATCACACTCGCTATGGCCACACTAATGAAAGAAACAACAATTCAAAATATTCATGAAGTGTTTCCCAAATGTAAATACCTACGCAATAACCAAGTTCAGAAATAATAATATTAATAATAAAAAAAGCCTTCATTGTTGTTGTTTTTATATTTATGGATCCGTATAGAACATTTCCCCCCTTTTTTTGACTTTACATACAGGAATACAACAACTGATGAAAACACTTTAGATTCTACTGCTCGGGGAAACCTGGAGAGTTCTAACTCAAATCCAGCTTCCAATACAAACAAACAAAACCCAAATTAAATTTGTTTTTCCTAAAATGGAATTGACTTATTTTCCCCAGAATTGAAGATTTACAAATAAGGGCTTCAGAGAAGAACTCTCGACAAAGTTTACAGTGTACAAACTCCTGTCCTACGGCAGGCTTTTTTTTCCGATAGAAAGACCCTCATCTTCTCTCATTGTGTAGTGTCAGAGGCACTCGATCACAAATTCACACACACACACGCACGCGCACACACACACACACACACACACACAAGCGCATGAACACGAACACTCAAGCTGCCAAAGCAGAGTTCAACCCCACAGACTACTGCTATCGACGCAATCAGGATATTTACCTTTATGTACAGTCTCCTATTCAAATAAACACCAACAGCACAGTGACCCTGACACATGTTTTTATCTCACACACACCCACACACACCCACACACACACATACATACACAAACACACACACAACCACTCACAAACACACTTGGGGACAATGCACTTCAGTGGGGTTTCCAATGGCCAAAGGCTGCAAAGCACTTGTAGTTTTTCTTTTAAGAGAAAATTTCCAAAAAAGAAAAAAAAAAGAAAAACAAAAAAAAGAATAAAAAGAAAAAAAAAAAGAAAGACAGAACAGTGCACATAGAACGGGGTGACTTTTTCAGTATTTTTTTTTTCCTGCATAAGAAATGTGGGTGAAGACGGAGAGATTGAGCTTGACTTGAGGATTATTTTTCAAAAATGTTTTCTGCTTCTTAGCCCTCTGCTCGCGTCGGAGAGAGCTCCCGTCAGTACCGTCTCTCCGAGGGAAAACGTTTCTTTCTTTCACGATTGCGGGGGAAAGAGTGCAAAAGGTGTCATAGCAGCATCAGAGGTGCTGCTCTCTCCGTGAGAAAAGTCTTTTATTTTTTATTTTTTTTTACATTAAAAATGATAAGATAATGATTGATATAAATAATGCCCTGTAATACGCCTGAGAGATTTCGTTTGTGACTAGGCTCAAAACACTGTATGGGGAAGAAGACGATTGCCTATGTGCTATTTAAGTGCTATATTTTTTCTAGTGGGTTCTATTTAAGCCTCTACTGGACCGTTGGACATGAAGTAAGAAAACACCATGCTTCTGTGGTCTAATATTTACTTCTCTATGGGACTCTCTGCTGGGGAAGTATCTCAGGAATTGACATATGTGCATATCATATATACATTTATACAAATCTACTACTTATAAAATACTTTCTAAAGGCTTGCTTGAGCCTGTCTGGAACTGATTTGGACAGGTCTCACGAGCATTAGTCGGTGTGTGATTGTTGCGCAGGTCACAGGCCACTTCACTGATGTGTTTAAGGCATCTACTTGGGAATTGCATTCGGTGACGTCTACAATAGTACGGCGTAGGATTCGACAAAAGCGCGCAACGGTATCCGTCCTCGAGTTGCGGCTTCGAGGGATCTACGACAGGGTTGGGATTCTACGCAAAAATGATTTCTTAGAGTGATTGTCATACTCAAGTCAAGCCGTCTCTCCTGTGAAAAATGAGCTCCTTCAAGGTTCACATGCTAGCACCCCAAGTGGAAAGTTGAAAGTAAGAGTCACAGTAGACCAATCAGTGACTTTGCAGCCGTAAAAAGACCAAGGGTGCATTTTTTTTTTTTATAAGTACTTCTAGAAAAATACCGCCCCTCCCCCTAAAACTCCCAAATTTAAAATACACTGGAACATGTCTCACCGTCATTCGGTAGGCCTATGAGCTAAAGAAAGAAAAAAAAAAAAAGACCTTGTCATACACTGCATAGAAAGCAGTCCCCACTTTGGTCAATAAAAAAGGAAAACACCCACAACAACAACAACATCATCAACAACAACAACGACAAACAACGATATCAACAAAATAAATGCATTACAATATTGTCTATCTCCAAACTAGCCTCTAATAATTGACGCATCTATAAGCACTACCTACATAGGCAAAACTTGGTATTGCATAATTTTCATAATTCTGAATTTCACCCTCCACAATAGTAACTGGAAGATGAACAAAATGAGCACTGAAAAAATAAGGAAAACAAAAGATGACAGGTTATTTGAAAAACCACCAAAATACTGAAAAAAAAAAAAAAAAAAAATGCTGGTTGATTACAAACTTTAAAACGGCAACTATACACAGCCTTGATATGCAATGTAACTGTGAGATAGAGTAGTACATGAAGTTAAAAATCAACAATTTCATTCAGAGTACAAAACAATTCTTATTCATAAAAATGTTAATTTTTTTTCTATAATGATAAATGCAGCAAAAACAAGTGTAGTGATGTCTCTATATTCAAAGGCAAGGCACGTAATGTGGACTATATGTCATCGTGCAAATTAAGAGTATTGGAGAGATTTTCCTTGTATAAATATGTCTGGACTGGAGAGGCAATGGCTGTGAACATGCCATGCACAATTCTAGATTTCAGGGATCTGCCACCACCTGGATCATAATTTCAGTTTTCAACCTCTTCCACTGCAGAGTTAACCTTGCACAAACCGTAGCTTTACACATAAGCCTGCTGTACATTTGCATGAATTGTACATTTCATGAATTAACACTTTGCATTCCATATTTTTTTTCTGTAAACATAAGCTTTAGAAGCTGATGGCCAAATACATATGCTCTTGATCTTATCGTGAGCATTTTAGAAAATGAAATGCCATTTTTTTTTTTTTTACACACTATGTGTGTCTCATTTCTTTACTTATGTTTGCTTATTTTTTTTCCCCCAAAATAAATAAAAAGAAAACTCCCCATAATGACGGGAAGGGCTCAAAAGAAGTGCTGGTTTCGCTCAGCGCTGCACAGGTAGCTTAGTGCTTGCCTTCAAATGCCTTTTGCGCTTGATGTTTTTCTCATGTGAGGAGACGGATATGCAACTGAAATCAAATTCAAATGCTTTCTTAAACATTTTACCCATAAAACCATTTAATATTTATCCCCCTTCCTTTAGAGTCTTAGGGCTGACAGACTGATAGCTTCCCTTCAAAAATTCAATTGCACTTGCCTCTGTCGAGATTTTCTTTTTCTCCGTCTTTTTTAAATCCTTTTGTAAAGGAGTTGCAAATTCTTTAATGAGGGGTCCAATCTCAAGCCGAACGTTTAGTGTTTTTTGAAACCGCATTAAGAGTTCTCAACTCTTACCATAAGTGTTTACATTAATTCTTGAAGTAAGTAGCAGTAAAGAATAAACAAAGTCAACACATTTTCTGAACAAAGAGTCATATCACAGTAAACTGAAATCAAACGGAAGAAGAAACACTCTGAATTCACAATTTTTTGTTCCTATGGTGTACACAGTGAATCGTTTGACATGGGAAAGCCTCTTTTCAAGAGGTCTGAGTTGGAGAGCTTAGAGTCTCAGAGCCATCCACCAGGCAGAGGTTGTTGATGCGCAGACCTCTTCACTTGTGTGTGTGAGTGTGTGAGTGTGTGTGTGTGTGTGAGTGTGTGAGTGTGTGAGTGTGTGAGTGTGTGTGTGTGTGTGTGTCTGTGTTATGTGTGTGTGTCCGTCCCCATTTGTCTGTGTGTGTGTGGATCATGATTTTACATCTTCCCCCAACATGGAAAAGTAGTAGGAATTGCCGCTAAGAGACTAGAGTGTCATGCAATAAAACATTAAGGCATCTATACATCACAGTATTTGAATGGATTGAAAAGTTCTGCAAACACAACAACTGACTGGTGGGTGGTGGATGTGTGGGCTGGGCTTTTTCTTTTTTTTCTTTCCTTTTTGAACCAACCCTCGTCTTCACTTCACGGCCAGGGTCCATCATGGGGAGGGACGGGAGTGGGGAGGGAGATGGAAGGGTCGAGATCTGGGTTGAGGGAGAGGGCTGGGTGAGGGGGGAAGGGGGGGGGGGGGGACGATTGTGCAGCTCGTGCTGCTTTTGCTGGTTTCATCCATGGCTGCGGACACCTGTAGTGCTAGCTCTGCACCACCAACACCCCCACCCACCCATTCACCCTGGGGGTCATCCGGGCCTCTGCGTGTTCAGTTCCCTGTCTCAGCGGGGACCAGGGGCTCACCAATGATGTTTATGCTGTAGTTCTGGTGGACATTTGTTGGCAGAATCGGAGTCCCGTTCGACACTTGGAATGGAACTAAGCTCGCCCAGGTACCAGGACTGCGTGAGACAAAAAAGACACAGAGAGACGGAGAGATTAGTCACATGCCATTAACTTGTTTGTGCAGCATGAAATAAAAATTAGATTATTTCTTTCAATTATCCTGAACACTGAACACTAATGACCAGCATCACTGAACTGCTGACAGTCATCAAGGTTCAAGGTCTTATTTTTGTTTTGTTCAGACAAAGAAGAGTAAACAAAAAGAAAAATAGCAGCAGTAGCTCATTAATCTAAGCTGAGATGATTCCACTTGATTCCCAGTGAAGGACATCATGTGAGCGGGCCGTGACGCAGGCCCTCCTCTCTGCATTGATGGCAGTATAGAAAAGCACGGGGGGGAGAGTGTGACTGGTGGTGGTGGTGGTGGAGGAGGGTGGATTGTGGAGAAAAAGTGGTGGTGGTGATGGTGGTGGTGGGGGTGGTGTGGGTCCCTACACAAAGCTGTCCCATCCCTATTCATCTCACGCTAATGGCAAAACAACACAGTGATTGTTCCTGGGGAGCAACGGTGCTAACTGAAAACGCGAGCGGGAACAAACAGCATGTTGTTCCCGAGGGGTGCTGCGCTACGTAGATGTCAGATAATTAGCCCACCACCCCCCGCTTCCCTCCCCCTTTTCTCCCCCACAGGCCCCCAGCGTGCACTCATCTAAACACCCTCCCACCTCTCACATCACCGCCGCTAAGTCTGAGAATACCTGTGTCACACACTTGCTATCTGATTTCACCGATACAAACTTTTCGCACCGTACTAAAGCGCGGTGCTGCAGCGGCTAAAACCTGGATAGAAGAAGAAGAAGAGGAATGAGGGATGAGCGTGGGACGCAGTGAAAGTGAGGACAAATGAAGAGGAAAGTGGACAAGAAATGCTGAGGGAGCAGATGAATGACAAGAAGCAGAGGTGGAGCACAGACTCGACTCTTTGTGAAGCTTCACGATTAGACAACAATGTCTGCGTCCGTGAAAGCAACTCATCAACCAGTCTGAATTTTATACAAATCACCAGTCACTGCTCTTTTACTTAAAACAATGGAAGTGCAAATTCAATTCACCTCGTGGCCTAAAAGAGCCAGACTCTTTGAGAAAGAGTGAATGAAAGAAAGACAGAGAAGAGAAGATGTGCTCAAAATAAAAACAAACATCATTCAAGTTTCAGATTTCAGTGTGCAAAGAGTTAAAAACAACCTCAAGGCTAAGCCTCTCTAGCAGATTTTTTTTTTCCTGTCCAATCCGTCCTCATGCTATCCTCTCTCCTGCTTTCTTCCCTCCCTCCTTCTCTCTTTCGCCCTGCCAAAAATCATCGGACAGGAAACGGGGGATTAAGTTTTTCCTACCTTGCTGAACAAAGAGCGCACAGAGCGGCCAAGGGCTGCAGCTTTTTCTTTTTCCCCCCATTCGCTTTCTTTCATTTTCTTTCTTTCTTTCTTTCTTTTCTTCCTCCCTCCCTCTTTCCATCACTCTGTGTTTGTCTTTCCTTATGAAACTTCTCTCAGGTAATGGCTTACATTAGGGGGACCACACAGCTACAAAAGCAGACTCGAGGGCCTTTGTGCGCACTAAACCGGCAGATCGGTTTTAATCTTGTTAAAATCGATGGATGTCAGGACGTATCTGCATCCTATAACCTAAAGCTGCGCTCCGCTGGAGTTTTATGTAAAGAATACTTCTCTGATCAAGCTAAATTTACAAAGTGGGGGGGGGGGGGACTGAAACCATTCCATCACTGCTGAATAAGACTTGTAGATTAGAATGACTTAAAATACAAACTCTATCCAAGTGAGGGCCCCATTCAATGTGAGTTAGACCCACCAAAGATAAATATTTCAGGCTCTGTACGAGCCCTGCTGGAAATCCATTTTTGATGCCATATTACAGGAATTCTGGGTATTGTTGTTCAAATTTGTCAAACAGGTCCCTTTTGCTGTAATCTGGAGCTGCCAAGATGCGAGCAAGGCTTCAAAATCCCTCTATTTCCTCTCCATACAAGTTTTTGCTTCATGTTTTTGCACTCGAAGCAGCTCTAAAAAAACCTGACCTCCATCGCCGTATTTCCTTAGGTAACCTTCAAGATGGCCTCCCCTTACCCTGTCCAGCTCCCAAACCTCACTAATTCTACTCCCTGCAAGCACAGCCCGGGCATACAGCGTGCTTCGTTTAAGGATTAGCTCCCTAAATTAGATTATCTAATGGCATCTTAATGGATTGCTGACCCATTTCCTGCACAATGGCAACATGCGAGTCTGGCAGCGTTTTAATTTGGGGCTAGTACTGAAGAGGCATAGTGGAGCGCTCCGTTTAAAGGGCAAGCAAAGATAAAAGAGAAATCCGACTGATTTCATCTGTACGTTGAACAGTTTTGTGTGTATAATCCATCAAAGAGGAAAAAATATAATAGAATTACCATCCCATCCTTGTAACAAAATAAACTAAATCAGTTGGGGTCAATTTTATCTGTGCTCATTACTGTACACTCACATGGAGAGAAGTGGAGGAGTTAGCTGCTGTGTGAGTGGAATAAGAGACTTCGAGCTGCTGCAGGGGACATTTTTCTCTGCTACCTCCACTGGCCTATTAGGAGGCCTGTTGAAGGGGGTTCTGCTGTGTGCATGTGTGTTTGTAAAAAAAAAAAAAGTCTGTAACTTCAGCGGGCGCAAAATGAGCTATACACACACACATACACACACACACACACACACACACACACACACATACATACACACATACACATACACACACACAGATGCGCTACACTTCCAGGGAAAAGGGGAAAAGGGAGACGTAACAGGAAAAGGCTTAGCTCAGCTTGCTCCACGGTGAAATGGTTCAGGTTTTTCCCCCAGAGAGGGGGGAGATACAGTATGGAGGCAGGGGGGAGATGAAGGGGGGACTTTCTGTAACTTTAAGTTAAGGAGAATAAAGCATGACTTCAGCACAAAATCAAACAAAGCTGAGCTTGTTCAAATGTGGAACGTAAACGGCTACAAATTCTGACCCGAAATTACTTTGATTCTACAAGATTAGACTTCATTTGTCCTACTTACCCTCACTGACGTTTGTATTATTAAATAAGAATATTGTGTTTTTGTTGTATGTGAATCCTTGAAGAAAGCTATGTTTCAAAAAGCTTTGTCATCTTGCGATGAAGAATAACAGAGCAGTGAAATACAATCCTGATGAATTTGACTCAAATAAAGTTCCTATATTTGCTGCTTTCACCAGACAAAACAAGAAATACGAAGTTTCTACTTTCCAAAAGCAAGAGTTTAGTTTATTTTATGATGTATTTAAAAAAATAAAATTAAAAAAAAACGCAATTCGTACAGACTGATAGCTGAAGAATTCTGTAACAGGATAGAGACAGATCAATCCGAAAATATAGCTCAACCAAATCTACCACAGTAAAAACTCTCAAAATTACTGGGAAAGGTGGGAAACAACTACAGAGAGGAAAGGAGATGAGGGAACAAAAAGGAGTGAAAATAAAACACCAGAGACACGAGGAAAGGTGTGTTACTTATATCAAAGAAAGGCATGACCCCATCTCAAAAGTCCAAAAGGTGAACTTGTCTGACAGACTACCCACTACAGGAATAACAGTCACAGCTACTGAGCATTTAATTACATTTATATGTAAAATGTGTGAATTTCTTACATGTGAGAAGTAGACAATCAGGAAAATCATACATTATATGGCATTATCAATTGTTGAGCGTGTGTATATGTGTGTGTGTGTGTGTGTGTGTGTGTGTGTGTGTGTGTGTGTAGATGTCGTGTAAGAGAGACAGAGAGACTGCATGATGAAAGAATGAAAAGGTTACCTTTGCCAAGTAATCCCCAAAGTGTCGTCAGTGGCACTGGGGCCATAATGCCTGCCGTTTTGAGTCACGCTCCAGTCACACTTCCTCAGCTGTCAATTGAAACCTAGCAGTCAGATCACTGGGCCAAGACAACTTCCACTTCAGATTACACTACAACTCAACACTGTATACACACATGCATGCAGAAGAGCCTAGAGCAAGAGCAGCACAAATAAAAATGACTCCAGAATGAGTCCTAACTGTTACTGACAATATGAAAATAGTGAATGGAATCAGTAAATTATCAGTTAAATCAAAGCTATGGCAAAAACAGACACAAAGAAAAAGCATGCAATCACAGTTAGTGGTAACAGCTAACCTGAAAGTAAGAAGTAGTTAGTTAGAAAATGTGAGTGGCATCATATTTGTAGTTCATCTGTGAGTGGTTACTGCTTTTGTAGCTGGTTAGCCAGTGAAGCCATGCAATCCACTGGATGCATGCACCCTGTCGATAATCACTGCTTCACTGTGAGTGCACTTTCAGATTCAGGACGGACTACGCATGCCCTCAAGCATGCAGATTTTTTTTTTCATTAGCTAACTGTTTTTATTGATTAGGGGTCAAAATTACAATGAAGTTAAACAGCATACACACACACACACACACACACACACACACACACACACACACACACACACGCACACATCCACACACATGCACGTGCACACAAACCCTTTTCCCCAGCTCTTAATACATGCCAACCTTACATACAGATTACAAATTACTGCAACAAAAAAGCCACACACAAACGGTGTCTCTCTTTGCATGCATTATGCGAGTGCACGTGTCGGCAATCCAGCTGAGAGCTATCTCTGCCAATACCAACCTAACCTTGCCCTGTGGTCAACACATTCATTTAGTAATGCATCAGGATAAAACTGCACTGTTAGCACTCTGCGTGCAGTGGCAGACGTTTTGCTGAGGCTCTTAAGAGGGATTTAATCAGATATACGCATACGCTGAATATTCAAAGCCATTTGCAGCGGTCAAGAAATGTGTTCTATTTCCTGCAATCACCTGGATGAACACATCAAGAGATGATGATGGTTTCCTTCTAAAGCCATATTTAAATTCAGTGATGTGTTTTTGTTATGCTCCTTGAATTTTTCTGGGACAAATGTGTAGTAGTGGCGGGAAACAGAGAATTTTAGGTGTAACTACCACAGAAAATGAATGTCAAAAGCTGTACAATGATGTAATAACCTTCCACATAAAACATTAGTTTTATTTGATCAATTGCTTTGAATAGCTGCTGAACAAGAAGCAATGCATCTTGATCCTTCCAGTGTGTTTTCTCTGTATTTATCGAAGGCTGGGAGACTAAACCCCCAATGCCGCTCCCGCACTCTCCAGCCTGACAAAAGCTTGGAGAGAATGTGCGGGTTGGGCCAGACGCTCTGTGCCACCGCTCCTCGAGGGGCTCGCCATCTGTCCGCTGGCACCGGCACATCAGAGTGGCACAGGCAGCGGGGAAAAGGGGGACGGAGCCGGGGAACGTTAGCAAACAGATGCGGGCAGATTGTGGATTAGGATCCTTCCTTAGATAATACCAAATGACATCTGATCATGGATCTTTCCCTGCGGAATGCTAGATGGTGGCATTCCCTCGAGGGGTTAACCAAGGCGAGAGATGAATGGAGGGTTTTCACACATTCGCTGCCTGGGAATCGTAGAGCAGGTGTGGGAGCGTGTGGTGGTGTTGTTTTGTTTTGTGTTTTTCATTTCTGAAGCCTACTGTGTGTGTGTGTGTGTGTGTGTGTGTGTGTGTGTGTGTGTGTGTGTGTGTGTGTCCAGTGACTTCTATTCTAGTGGTGCCACATCTTAAAATAGGCTCTGCTCTGAAAAGTGGGTTGTTTTAAGCTTTATTACCAAATTATCAGGTGACTATTAAATCATTTTATAGTAATGAAACATTATAATTATCATTAATTATCATTCATAGTTTGGAATTAACACACTGTAGTAGCAGTTAAAAGAAATCAAAGGTGGCTCTGACAGCAACAGAGGCAGATGCACAGCAAGTCATGGCCTTTATCCATCACCTAAACAGACAGACAAAGAACAGTGCACCTCCATGGTCCAGCCCCAGTGCTGACCACATTTTAAAAACCTAAGCATCAGGGAATCTCTCTACACATGTGCGTGTGTGACATGTTTCCCTTCCCCTACCCAGCCAGGCGACAAACGGCTGCAACTAAACAACTAGAAGTGTCAGTAAAGCCTTGTGGATCCCACATAATAAACATCCCATCGCCAGATGAGGACAATGACAGAGTACTCAGTGAAAGTGTTTAGTCCTGAGGGACTTGGCTTGGTGTCGGTCCCGCTCCGCGAGGCCAGATCCCAGGCCGTTAAATCATACCACAGAAAACAAAAACAACCATGACAAGCAGAAGTATGATGAATCAATGTGCAGACTGTTTAGAGTTCCTTAAGCCGACAAGAACATTTATTCATCTGGATATAGCATGTAATAACCTTCTAGTGAGGTGTCACTGTTGTGCTTACAAATCTTTCATTTTTTATTTCACATTTAACGCTACTGTCTTTTTGATAAAACTCTCTCCACGCAGTGAGTCCAAAGATGTGTTCGTATTTCTTAAGCCTAAGATAATTTATGTTTTGCCGTGCAACAGGATCAGAAAAATATGTCTTCGGATAATTCAATTTAGGATAATTACAATTTAGCAAATAAAAATAACAGTAAATTGTTTTTATTATATCATCACACTGTGTTTCTTCTGAAGATATTTATATATCTGGCTGATTTACACCTCAAAATGTGGAACAAAGAGTCCTTATAGCCTCTGGGGGCCAAGCTTTGGACAAAATTCAGCGGGTCATGCAGCTACGCTCAGACTGCTGCTGTCTTGTGTAGTCACTTTGTGCCCCACTGAAAGAAGTAGCAGGGCTACTAGAAAATGTGGAAGACAAACTGTGCAACATCAGCCAAGTGAATCCTCCCTCTCCTCCTCCTTCTCCTCCTGAGTGGAATAAAAGCATCCCGCGACTTCTGATAAACATTTACATTTCTTTTTTTTTTTCACCAACTCAGATCAGATTTTAGGGAAATGGGGAAAATGAAAGGCAGAGAGAGAAGAAGAAAGACAGAAAGAGGAGCGAGGAAACAGAGGCCAGCTTTGTCATTTTTACTAAACATAAAAAATAAAAAGCGAGCTGAGGAGAAACCCAACGATCATTATGTAGCCGCGTGCAGATGCATTCAATTAGTTGTGGTTGGAAAAGCCTTGGCCTCAGACCAGCGCTTTCAATAAGATGGGGTGGGGGAGAGCACTCTCTCCCGTCCGACAACACCGCAACACTCCTAACCTCGCAGACACACACAAACACACCCACACACACACATACAGACACACACAAGGTCACCACATCTGTCCTAAGACCACTGCTGGAGCAACCGCGTGACGCCAACACTAAATATTCGGCTTGTGTGGTGTAAATGAGGGAGTGTACTGATTACATGTGGTATGTGTGTGTGTGTGTGTGTGTGTGCGAGCGTGAGTGTTTCTAAAGTAATGTGCGAGGGAAATACGGTTGAGCACATTACACTCTCAAAGACACCCACATGTCCCATCCATCTTCTGAGTAGTGGCAACACAATGACAGTGAGTTTCCTGACACCTTCATTTCTTTCTTTAAAGTGACCTCAGGAAACAGATGCCTTTTTTTACTCTAGACTGGGATTTAACCTCAAACACACTCACTCAATATGATATCTTACATTTTTATCAAGGCTAAAAATTCAAGAGAAAATGAAGTAGCACTGTTGTTTTGGGATACATAATTCTTATCTTATTTTTATCTTTATTTTGTGTATGTGCTACTGACATGTGGTTAAATCTACATTGCTTACAAAGTGTATTTTTTATCTATATACACTGTATGCAATCTATTCAAATTCAGCTAATGGACACTAAAAATAAAAACTGAATCAGAAGTGTTAGTAAGACTAAAACTTTAACAGCAGCATAAAGAGAACAGCATGGTAGAATTTAAAGCAAAAAGGATTTGATAATCAGTAAGACTTGCTATCTTTAGCTGTGCTAAGCCTCAGTCCTTTTGAGGGCTCAAAAAAAAAAAAAAAAAAAAAAAAAAAACTTGATATGTTGGTAATTCTTTATGCCAACAGTGAGTGCTATGTTTGACCTCAGCGTACCAGAACTCTGATCTGATCTAAAAGTGCTCATGTCTAACATGACAGTTTAACGCTTCATACAAATCAAATTCAGAGTGTGACTGGCTCTTGCAGAGGGCCGGGACTGCACATCTGATGTGTGGGGAGATGGGGTTGACAAAAAAAAAAAAAAAAAAAAAATGAAAGGATAAGAGTAGCAAGTGAGCTGAGTGCTGGAGGGAGGAGAACTCACCTGTTGCTGGTGGAGGAAGGTAGGATCTCTAGGGCTCAGGCCTACAAAACGATTAGCCGTTGGGGTGCCAGGGGCTGAGTAGCCTGGGTAACACACCATCACAAAAACAGAAAGTCATGCTTGATTTACAATTAGCATTTCAGGAATTTACATGCAGCTGTTGCTCTTATCCACAGTGACTTACATTGACTATACATATAAAGTCATTTATCAACATTAGAGTAAACAGTGCATGTGGAGTCCCACAAGGTTCTATTTTGGACCCATTCACATTATTCAGTCATTTGGACATTTTGTCAACAAGCATAGTTTAATTTTCTACAAATACTGTTTTTTTTAAATGTTTTTTTTATCATTTGAAAATATTTTCATTTATGTTTTACACTGTAGATGTTAGAGAGCAACTTAACAAGAGCTGGAACTCTTGACTTCCAGTCGCCTTACAGCAGTGATGCACATGTGTACTCAAAGTGCTGATGGGTAGGGTTACAGAGTATACTTACGACCACCCAACTAAACCCATCACTGATGAAAACATAAGTGCAACAGGCTTGACACTTTTGACCAGTGAGGACACAAAAACACTGAAATACTGCTTTTTAGCACTGTATTAAATTACTCTTTAAACATTACTCTCCTTGTTATTATAGGAAGTTCAGATGTCTAGTGGTCGTACAAGAAATTCTGCAAAGACTGAGCTGTCATAGAGCATAAGACGTTGCACAAAGACAAAAAATGGCAAAGCAAACAATTCAAAATGTCTTCAACTGCAACTGTTAGAAGATGTAGAACTGAAGTTTGCTTGGTGTTTTGTGGATTGGGAGTGGTGGTGATTTGTAGTGGGTGTCAGTAATGGGGAGTAAGCACAACGACTCACCTTCTGCGGATGTGGTGATGGGCTTGGTGTCGGGCATGGAGAGCGAGACGGGTCGCACAGCGCTGTGGTGTGGGGAGGGAGCCAGGACTGGGGTGAAGTGGCCTGGAACCTTTCCTACCACCTGACCACTGCTGTTAGGCTGCAAGTGGGGTACAGACAAGAGGAAAACACCATGTATTTTATTTCAGAGAATAATTCATTTTGTCCAGATTTAAGAGGTGTTCATGACAAACGTGTGGAGTGGTTTACTTCATTTCTGGAGTTTATTATCTTTTGTTTTGCTTTGTTTGGTAAGATGAGAACAATGCCTCGACTCTCATTTAAATCAACTGTAGTGCTGTGTGCTATTAGTGAGAACAAAATCCAGGAAAATGTGCAGGAAAGACCCCTTGATGTAAACTTTAATGGTCATAACTGCCAAATATTGACATCTGTCAGTGACTTGTGCTTGGAAGTCAAAAAAACTGAATTAAGGCACAATCATGCTTTGCTAAAGGTGCATATACAAAAGCTGCATTTGTTTTGTCTCCCATCAAATCTCTAACCTCAAGAGAAGGCAAACTGTGTCCAGTAACTTAGTTTACAAGCTCTTGTAAATGTGTAAATGTGCAGTTGAGCAGATCTCAATAAACCAATACAAGCATGTAACAAACTACACTTTTCTAAAATGGTTAGTACTAAACAAATTGAATGTCCAATCACACCCTTACGTCCTCCTGTCCAACTCCCCCACCACCACCCTCTCACCCCCTTAACTGCTCTGTTTGCCCTCAAAAGCCCACTCACTCATACACTTAATGCTCTGCCTGAAGAAAAGATTTTAGCACTTGCAGTCGCTGTGTTGTCACAGTTATTACTAAAACTCTGGGGGGCACGAGCAACAATAGATCCTCAGTCACTGACGATGGATTTCCTACATGATTTTAAACAATGATTTTAATGGCACTCATAAATGAAATTTAAGAGGACGCGGGTATGAAAAGACAGAGAGAGCTGGAGAGTGACCTGTTACAATGGTGTGAATGTGTGAGTATAGAGAGCGCGGCAGAGAGACTATATATATGGAGAAAGAAATAAAGGAAGCTAGTGGGAGCTACTCTTTCAGACGGCTGGAGACTGTCTGGGGCGTTCATTTCAGGGCCGCCCCAAGTTCAAAACTCAAACAGGCCTTTTTGGAAAAGAATTGTGTCCACAGGGTTCCCTCCGATGTGAATAGAATGTTTAATTAGAGTGTAATATAATCTGCGTTAAAGCAAGCATAAAAACATTCTGGCACTCGTCCATGGGATTATAAGCGCTGTGTTATTTGCTGAGCACCCCCCCACCCATCCACCCTGCCCTCCCGCCATCCTCCCTCTTCCCCCAGCTGGTCTTCTAGCACTCTCTCTTCCCTACCAGACCCCACCTCACTAGCCCACCGCCGCCCCCCTCTTTCTCCAGCACCCCAGCAGAGGGCCAGTTAATTCTGCACAAGAGCCGGGCCCCGGCAACGGCAAATATTTACAACCTTTATCATTCCCCGCGGTTTTTCTCTAGAGTAACAGTCCCCCCAACCCCCCACCCCACCCCCCTCTAACCCGCTCCCTGCTCTGGAGATGGAGCCGTCTACGAGGCCTTTGTTTACAGTGAGAACAGCGGGGATATAAAACTCACATAAATATCACACGGCTCTCTCATCTATAGAGACGCCTGCTTTCTCTCTCCAACACACTGGCCGCACTGTGTACCCAGAATGTATAAAAGCCCGAAGCTATTTGATTTACTTCAGTGTCTTGATACAGTTTTGTATGTCATGTGTGACTGCAATTGCACTAGTTTGGTTGACTATTTTATGGAGTCATGCGGTCGTCACAAATACAAGGCTGGTAATGTACTACAACCTTCAACATGAGCATTATATCCTACAGAAAATATATGTTTCTGTGTCACAAGAAGTGGCCTGCAAAGTTCAGTCTGGGGTCGTCTGCAGTGCAAGTGGTGTAATTTTACTATGATTTAACTCACTGTAAATTATTCTAATAAATCAACTCCTTACAATGACTATTGTAATTTTAAGTTTGTCCCTGACCAATATTATATCGCCACATGAGGGGCAGGCAGCCGAGTGCTAAAATAAGGGGTACAAGGCCATTTAATGGTTCCCCTTAAGGGCTTAAAGTGTCTAATTTGCGGTATGTAATATGATTTTTTGGACTTGTTAGCACTGTGAAAATGCAGTTTTATTAAGATATCACTGAACCTCAGTGTAATCCACACCATGAATAAAGAGAATGACCAGGAGCAGGTTTAAGATAAAAAAAAAACAAACAAACAAGAAAAACAGGATGATGTTTCTCTACTTGCAAATGCACCGACGGGGCAGTAATGAAATAATGACAAATGCATGCTATAATTTATCTAATCTTTAATCTTCTGAGGTCAGATGGGAGCAAAGCCGAACAAGATAACAAAGAACAACCCGAGGCCATGAACGTCGTGCCAAACCAGCCTCATACATCTGGCCTACAAACCAGCTTCTTCAAAGACAAAAAGAGAAAAAAAAAATAAGACTGACCTGGCTGCTCTGTGGGCTGGACGGGTCGTATGACGGCACGTAGCTCTTGAGGGGATCAGCAGGGTTGAGGTGGGGCGGGTAGCGGATGGTGGTGTGCGAGAAGTAGGGCGACGGCGCCGGGGGCAAGATAGCCGAGGCCGAGAACTGCAGGGGCGAGTGTGGAGGGGGGCTCCTCGTCGATATAACTGCAAGAGAGACAGACAGAAGAGGAAGATAAAGACTTGAGCGTGTGTGAGAGGGAGTTAAGATAAAGCGATCATCATTGATCTACGGGGCTAAATCAAGTATCGACATAGATTTTTCAACCGTGTTCATGAGGAGGAAGTCGATTAGAGCTTTGGATCTCGCAAGATGGGGGTTAAGGTTAAACTCACCACTGTGTCCTACACCAGTTAGGCCTGGGTGATGAGGCTGAGGGAAAGTGCTGAGTCGTGGTGAGGAGTCCTGCGGAGAGGTGGGGCTGAACAGCGGCTTCTCTGGCTTCTTCATGGTAGGAGAGGACATGTCTGCTAGTAGAAACACACACAAACACATAAAGGAAGAAATACAGTCAGAAAATATGCCTAATTAAATATTCTCTTTATTAAATATTTTTTTGGGCAGACACATTGAAGTGAGGAATTTGTCTCAACGTTTATGTTTCATCGACAGACAGGGAAGTGAAATCAAATGACTTCACTAATGCACAAAAACAAACATTGCAAGGTTATCTTTTTTTTCTTTTAATGGTTTGTTGCTGAAAATGAATCTAAGCATTTCCCTGTAGTTTCTGCTAATGCTTCCATTTCTCATGAATGAAAGGAATTGAGTGCCAAAACTGAATTATGGTTGAAGTTCAGCAGAATTTGATCTGCATGGGATTAGTATTATCGGGGGACGTATTTCTTCTCCAAATGCAGCTGACAATGAAAAATGTACTTTGCAAATTACCGACACTGTAAAGGTTCAAAATCACATATAATCTCTGGAATCTTTACAAATCACTGGGAAATTTAAGTCTTGTGAAAATGTGGCTTTTGTCATGTGTGAGCACACAATTAAATCCAGCCAACTGACACACAGTTGTACTATACCATGTACAGTTGGTCACTCAAAGAGGATTCGAGAATTTCAAGACCCTCACGTAATCTTAAATAGAATATTACTGTGTAACATCTGCTCGCCTTGGCCTTACACGCTGTCTGACAAGCTGCTGTAATTCCCCATGAATAATCTTGAAGGCTCAGCAAAAGACATGAAAATTTGTTTAGGAAATTTGTGCAGTTTTATAAAGTAAAAGTATGTGCACAAACTCTTACAAGTTGCTCATTATTGCTGCTCTACACTTTCATGAGCAATGTTCTGCTGTCACGCCCGCACAGTTTTCAATTTTCCATGGCAGGACACAGTGTCTGAAGGGAACGTGATAACAAATAGATGCGAGGGGCAATGGCCTATGTCTGCTCCTGCTTCTTCTATGAACATTCATCAAGTGCTTTTCTGGTCTGTCACAGATTCTCGAGGTGTATAACTTTCAACTCATCCATCTCTTTCCCTCAGAATAAGCCATATAAACCCTGTTGTTGAGGCATTTCTATAGTATAAACCATCCGTCCTTGTGTTTTCCCACAACAGGGACGGATCCACCCGAGTGACGGGAAGAATCACTCATTTCCAGAGGAGAGAGCGACAAAGGTGGCTGGAATTCAGGGGGATTTCCCAGTCTGAGGTTGCAAGAGGATACAGGCTTAAGTGCTTTCATTTCTGTGTCAGAGGGAGAAATACCGTTGAGAAGATTGATATAGCTGCTTAATGTTTCCATGTAAAAGTAGGAAATATTTTCTGCGGTGGAGGTACTCGGCTTTTCCACTCTTCTGCTAATTAAATCCTTCAGAGAATCAACTGGACTGCCCCGGGGAAATCAAACTGGACAATTAATTACCAGAAATTAAACACTTTAAATACTTCAAATGAAAAGGTCAAATCATTCATGCGTCGAAATCAGATTAGTAGTCTTTTTGCTATCTGATTTATTTTGTATTGAATGGGAGAATGTGTAGCAAAACATAAAAAAAATCCCACATAGAAATTTTTTTTAAAGTGTACAGTACTTTCCCAGAGCAAAATACAAGAGAGAAACTATGTCTTCCACTACATTGTGAGGTTTTGTCGAATGACAACCATGTGCGAGAAATGACCGCCTGGCACTTGGGAGGCCTCATATGGGTTTAATATCACCCCACTTCTCATTTATTCTCTCCTGACAGAATAATGGCTGTCTTTGGAGAGTTTCCTACCCACTGCTTTCCCTTTCTCCTCGCCCCAAGTGTCTAAGTTTACTCAGAGCAATAGTCAGGCCTTGTGCAATGGGACATGCTGAAATTTCATGTACCCACATTGGGCTGTGGTTAAATCCCACTAGTGCCATGTCTCTTGTGTATCATCTGGTGTTTTCCTGCCTCAGCCTTTTCTACTTATTATATTAAAATAAAAAAAGAGAAATGCAACAAAAGAGATGTACAAAGTTCAAACAAAAGCCTACACCTCAGTCTCAGTACGCCCTGCTGAGGAAAAGTTGGGACATTTCCAATCATCTTGTGCCTGTCACAGTCAGATGAAACCTTCCCTATCACCTCTGTCAGTTGGTGTGTGGAAAGAAGTCAGCAGAAAGTGAGAATGATACCGGAAACACGGGACAGTGAGGCCTTAATTAGAAGTGCAATGGGCTCTGTTCTCTGCACCAGGAGACGACATAATGAGACATGCAAGCTGTCCCGCGAGGATCTCGCTGTCTCACACGCACGCAAGGCGGCATGCTTGTTCCTCTGATACATGCATCTTGATCTTTTCATGTTTCCAGACCCAATGTATGAACTTGTTAGGCCAGATTTGTTTTTTGATGCCTGTCTAACTAGCCCTGTACAGTACAAATGTCACATGATCATTAAAATTCTACCGATATGGGAATTTCTTTCTTAAGTTCAGCCAAGATGTACAGTATAGCCCTATTTCCTGAGGAGAGATCATCTGACACATTTGCCCTGCAGGTTGAATAGCTCTACATCTGGAATTTCTCTAAAACAGCCACTCACAATGTGTTTCAGGTGTCTGCGTGTGAAGATAATCACACACCTGACATTTAAAAACTCAAAAAACTCAAAAGTTTATCAGTAATGTAAATAATCAGTGACCTTATATTTGGGACACTAAGTGTTGAATTTAAGCTGGAACAATTTGTTCTCATAAAGGACACTCTGCATGGTGGAATACAACGTTTCCTTTGTCTAAGCAACAGGTGTGAGAGAATGCAGGTTTACATTCAGAGAGTGGTTCAAATGGGTTTAAACATTTATATGACTGGCGATGCCTGGGGCTATCTCTGTCATGGTATGTATTTTAAGAGGGTTGAACAGGTTCATGTGCAGATGAAACCAGATGCAGCTCATCCGTGATGAAACGGGCGGAGACACTGACATACAGTAGCTTACGACACGGCTGAGAGTTAAAGAGAGTTCAGCTGCTGGTAAAGAACAATACGAGACGTTTACTTTGATCACATCTATTTGCATGCGATGAGGACGGAAGATCTCCTACCCTTCGTTAAGTTCTGTCAACACGCTCTCACGCAACACTGAGCCGTGCAAAGTTCCACGCTGCATGTTTGTGTAGCTGTGTGAATGCAACGCAACAGCGCTTACAATGCGCATCCATGCCTGACAAACCTCCCATAGGTAAATAAAGGTGGTCAAATAAGAACAGGAAAATCACCTCCGTCTCTGTCGTGCCAGTTTGCCCGACTGCTGGCCGGTGAGCTGGGTGACGAGTAGAAGTCAGGTCCTGTCGGGCTAGTGTCCATGTTCTCCTCCATATTCACGGTTTTGGGCCTTTTGCTGCAAACATGAAGAAGTGTACGGCTTTAACAGGCAGTCATTTTTTATATCATGATTGTCAAGATTGTGAGATAAAGTCTATTAATTCAGGACAGTTGGAGTTGATGTCTGTCACAGATTAACTTGGACTGTCTAAAAGTTAAAGGAATAGTTTGACATTTTGGGAAATAATTTCTTTTTCACTTTCTTGCCGTGAGACAGATGAGAAGAATGATACCACTCTCATGTCTTTACGCTACATATGAAGCTAGACCCAGAAACCTGTAGCTTAGCTTAGTTTAGCATTAAAGCTGGAAGCAGGGGGAAACAGCTTGTCTTCGTTTAGTTAACTCTAAAAAATGTCAAAGTGTTTTCACTTAGCTTTTCATTTGGATGTTTAGAGTTGTTGCTAAGGTTTTTTACCTTTGGATAGAACCAGACTACATGTATCCCCCTGTTTCCAATCCTTATGCTAAGCTAAGCTAATCACCTCCTGGCACTAGGGAGTCAATCAATGTTCTTGTCTAACTCATTGCATTATGTCAAATAACTATATTATCCAAAATGCCAAACTATTCCTTGTAAGCTACTGTCCTATGTGATGGTTAATTTCAGCTTCATATATAAAAGATATCATGGATGTGCACTGATATTTCTGTGTTATTAACACCATAAAGGAGAAGAATATCATTGCTATGTTACAACAGAAGGACCTTTTCCTCAAACTTTGTCTAAAGAGCTTATTCTGTTGCTGTGGCTTCCACTGACCTGCCGGGAGGGGAGGACAGGGAGCGATGCAGCCCCACGCTGGAGTTCAGGTCGTGGTAGTAGGGTTGGCTGGGCATGTCAGCCATGGAGAAGTTTACCGCTGCACCGTGGGTGATGGGCACTGTAGAGGACAAAGGGAAAAACAAAGCGAGACAGTTCATGCTGCAGTCACTGCAAAGAAGGAGTCCAATGTCAGCAGTGTTGTCAGACCGAGTGCAGTCTTTCCCTACTCTTGCATCTAGAGACGCACTATTAATTGCACAATAGCTTGACTGACTATTATTGATGCTTTGTGTTAAGAGGCACTGTGCATCAAATTAAGCGCTCCCTATTCACAGGTTAACTGTCTGACCACTGCAGGCGTTTCTGCTGAGCTCTGATTAACAACTCACTTCTTTTCACATGGCTGTGGCTGCAGGGGAAACCTTTTACTAGTATATTACTGTTATCATAATTATCAATAAGTCCAATTTCAGTCATATGTAGCACTAAGAAGACAAACCGAATATGCACTAAACATGTACTATAAATGTGCAGTGGTAAGACATGTATTGTTAAATGAGTTATCCAGCCATTTGTTGCTTAAGAGTCAGATGAGCTCAGTAAACTTTCAACTGAATTCACATTGCACTTCTCTATGGTCCAATACAATACAACACTCAGCAGTTTCCTCACATAGTGATTTACAGTGGAAAAGGTGTTGTTTTTCTCACTGCGGTCAAGGTGAAGGATATTGTTTCAAGGGAGGCCGGGCCAATGTTTACAGAACAAAAGGAGTTCACCACCCATCCTCACTCTCTCCCTCTCTCTCTCTCTCTGTCTCTCTCTCTCTCTATGTCTCTCTCGCTGCAGTGTGTGGCCCGCGAGGCAGCCTGCAGCTTGAGCGGTTGGTTGGTTTGGAGTCGATGAGAGGATGGAGTGTGTGGCGCCGTCTGTTGTGGTCTGAGGTTCACCACTGGCACGATCCCTCCGCCAGCCTCCGCCCTGGCAGCCCACTGTAGCCCTGGCAAAGGCCCCTACCCGCCGCTACCCATACCGAGCTGTCTGTGGAGGAATGCATCCGGCCCGAGGACGCTGAATACAAGACCATTGTTTTGCTTTTTCATTCATGGCTGAGGATACCCCCAACCATCCCTCTCTCTCTCTCTCTCTCTCTCTCTCTCTCTGCTGGTTTCTCGCTTCTTGGCTCGGCACAATATTTGTGATGCCACTTGGCCACCCTGCCAATCATCTCATTTAATAATCTGGGCTTTGACTTTTAAGATCAAAAACACAGTGAATGAAACAATGATGCTGCAGAAAATACAATCTGCACAATGCCTCCTCCAGCAGATTACCTCATCTTACTGTATAAGCAGATACGAGAAAATATACCGTCACATATTCATATTCACATATTTAGATCAGCAGTTTCATTTGCCCATGCATGCCCACGTTTTCTGTTGACAAAATATTTTTGCACTTGGAGTCGAGGCTCCTGTTGCATTAATGAGTGTCCTCGTCGAAATGCTGCATTGCAAGTCAGCCTTGAACTCCGCAGCTCCCTTTGATGGACTTCAAAGAATGTCTCGAGAGCCTGGAGAGTTGGGAGAGAAGCGCGATGACGGATGAGCGGCTGCTTAGATATCTTCCCAGGGAGTGACCGGCTGAGTGAGTGACAATTCCTGTGCGTCCATCGACCTTTTTAAAATTCCAGCTCGACTTCAGTCGGCTTTAGTGAAACCGGGCTCGGTCACATGAGAGCAAACACGCCAGCGCAGCGGCCATCTGGTCAGGGGGCAAATTAAACACTAAACAAAAACACAGCCTTTCAAAGGATATTCAGTCTCTGAGCAGTGAAACGAGCAGGTTCTGCCTTTCAGAGCGCGATGTACGAGGCGGTTAAGACGACCTGGTCCATGCTCCTACACTAGAAAGACTTTGATACAGTGGGTAAACAGAAACCAAGGTCAGCATTAAATAAAATTTGTGATTCCCAATCCATTATACATGTCAACAGCTGCTTATTAGGATCTGTAAGTCCAAAGCAAGTCGACAGTTTAGAGGATTTTAGCTGCATAAAACTTGCACATGAGCAGAAAGTTTTACATTTTTATCCCTTATTTTAAAAAGAAATTAAAGGTTAATAATGTTAATTCGATTATTATTCTGCCTTAAGCGATGTCTTTCATTTTTATTGTTTTGTCCGACCAACAGCCATAAACTCAAAGGTTTTCAATTTTCTGTTATATATGACAAAGACAGAAGCAAATCTTCATTTTGGAGAAGGTGAAACCGGAAAACTTTAGGCATCTTTGCATGAAAAATGGCTGAAACAATTCTTTGATTATCAGAATAGTTGCGGATTCATTTTCCATCATTCAACTAATCAATTAACTGACTAATTCTTGCAGCCCTAAACTGTACTGAAGTTTTTATGACTGCAGGAATTCAAAAGCAGCCTGAATCCAACCATAGGACCAGAACAACACACAGACAGCACAGTTATGTTTCTTTTAAACACAGGTTGTTGGGGGCGACTGGAGTTATTGCGCACCACAGGCATGTTACAGTTTAGCTAAGAGGCAGTACAGTGTCTCAGAGGGCCCTCAACTATCAGAGGGAAGAAGACTCCAGCTCCTGGAGGGACAACCGTCGACAGCTTTGCAGAGGGCAGACATGTCTATACAGATATACACAGGTTCATGCAGATGGCTTTGCAGTCAAGTATTCTCTCACTGCAAAGCAGACTGGCCAAACTGGATTTACCGCACTACAGTTGTATGGTGGATGTCAGTAAATACAGTAAACAGGTTGGGATTTGTGAAAAAAAAAAAAAAGGAGCAAGTTAGAGAAATCTTTGTGACATTAAAGCCAGACAACAGACAGCGTCACGTCACAGCTTCTGGATCGAGCCATAAAATAAGTTGGTTTCGGGAAATCTTGATCATGCGTAATAGAGGTAAAACCTGTGGGAAAAAGTGTTTTAACCCTTATTTTGGGGCAAAGTCACCAAACCTTCTTTGCAGTTTTTTATCAGATTTGATCGATGATTCTATACATTGGCTATACATGGCTCTCTCCCCATTCATTTCCCCATCAGATAGGGGCCTGGTCTTGTTAGCCGGAAATAACTGTCCGGGGACATCGCCAAGATGGCTGCCACGTGGCAAGACTTGCCTAAAAGGACTTTGGTTGCACCTGTTAGATTAGGGAAACCTACACCTTCAACAGTTTTCTGAGTACATGGACTTTGGTGTCCTCATATTATTCCCAGCATAGCTCCGCCCAGTTTTAAGATGAGCTCAGGGCTGATCAGTGATAACTGAAAACATGTACTTACTTCTGGACACTCGCACCAGTTCTGCAACACTGAAGACTCCTGATTTGATGAAGCTGTCTTCCAAGTAAACTGTAGAAACACAGAGGCAATAATGATGAGCTTGATCATTGGGTTAACAAATTTGAAATTCTTGTTATTTACTAGATGCACAATTAAAGTGTGTAGATTGTTGAACGTTGTGCATTATGTATTTCTTAGTGTGTTAAATGAAGAACAACATTGGATTAATTGCCAACCAAATAATCTCAAAAATATTGATTCAACATGGACGGGTTGTATTTGTTAATTTTCCATCACTAAATGTGTTTGTGCACGCTAAGAGAAAAAACAATAAAACATTTATCTTCAGCAGTAAAATTGAAAGTGGCAGAGTCCCCTTTCAGTCTGAAACATACGCAAACCTCTAATGACTTGTTTTCATGTTCTCCTTCAATCTGTCTTTTATTTTACTGAACGCCATTTTTATTTTTAACCTTCATGTTTTTTAGTAGAGACCATGAGACGCAGAACCAAAACCTTATTTGGTCTTTTCTTCATGATTTCCTTTTCTGTGGACACTTCATTTACTGCGTTTTAAACTAATGCCATTAAACCATTCCGTGCAGCGCAGGACAAGAGTGACACGACAGGTGTGTGTGAGGAGGACGTGACATGCACATTGTGAGTCAAACTGCAACTGTTAGTACAACACAAGCACTGAACCGCAAGGCTCTGCTTCGTCGATCAAACACACACATAAAACTTAATATCTGGCAATATTGACATTGGTATGCTGAGATAGGGCTGGGTCAAATTCTAAACTTTTATGGCACCAACTGAATTTCTACTATCAAGTGTTGAAAAATGCCTTGTCATTCGTTACCAATTTCAATATCTAAGGAGGAGCCAATAAGCACGCGGCAATCTCGTACCAAAGGGGTGACTGGCTGTCTAATGTAACATTACACAAACACGTCGTAGAGGCATGCAGGGAAAATATACATTATGCCGAGACAAAGGGCTTGCTTGTGTGTGTGTGTGTGGGTGTGGGTGTGTGTGTGTGTGTGGTATTTTGAGAGGCTTGACTACAGTGTGTGTTGCAAAGTAAGTGTAAATATGTCTGACAGATCCAAAGTGTGGCTCCATGTTATCAGGCTTGATGCCAGTAGTACATGCAAAAAGGACATACATTTTCATTTATTGACAACTTCAATCTGAAGTAAATAGGTTTATTATTTATGTCGTAAAATTGCTTTGAGTGGAAAAATGCCAAGGTGCTGAAACATAAAACTAAAGAGCTGCAGCAGACTTAAAACAAACAACAAACTTAAGTTAAACCACATTGTGATAAACAGGTTTATAATTTTTATGTTATGAAACTGCTCTGAGTGTGTAAAAATGCCTGGAAAAGGAGCTGGAAAATAAAATGGGATGGTATTGGAAACGGTACCAGTATTGAACATTTTTGAAAGGTATCCAGCCCTATGGAAAGACACAGTATCACAGGAAGAAATATTCACTTTACTGAGACATTCACTGTAGTTTTGATATTCTGAAAATGTGAGATTGCTTCACTCTGTCCAGTGTAAGTAAACAGTTTTGAGACTCACTTGGAATCATGAATTGCTTGGAAGGAAGATGAGGTTGTTTCAGCATAGCCAGATTTTTTTTCTCCTGTTTTCAGAAAACTATTTTTAGACTCAACAAACGATGGCAATACCGTATGTTTCTTGTGGTGCTGAAGCATTCGGTGCATTCTGTGTGACCTGCCCAGGACTCAGCAACACTAATCAGAGGCTGTCAGTCAAATAAAACAGCCAGACAAGTTATTGACACCCAAATGACTCCGGCTCGGCTTTGAAGCCATGCCAAGGACACTCGGGCCGTGCCAGGAAGATAGGCAGCTTGACTGGCACCTACAACGTCTAATGCCTCCAGTGAGCCAACGGCTTTTGAGGGGGAACTGTGCCACTGCCGAAGGCCTCCCAGGCCTGAGTCATTGGCTCGCTAGCATGTTTTCTTTGGCACTCATATCGGCAGAACCTGCTCTTGAGGTAGAAAACTAATTATACTTCTCAAACTATTTTCATACCAACATTGTGACGACACAGCGCAAGTCAGTCCAGGGGAACAACAGCGCTGTCAGAGAATATTCTCCTCAGCTCGGCTTTGCTGGCTCACCTTGATGCACTCCACTACCAGCCAATCTGCTGTAACACTCCAGATCTTGCGTGTCTTTTTTTTTTTTTATTTCAATTGTACAGTGTTTGATGTTGCCACTGGGATGATGACGACTGAAATTTAACAATCCAATCAAATTTTATTCCTCCTCAGTCCATGCAAAGTTAAAAACTGTGGCCTCAGCTAGTGGATGTCTTAATTTTACACCGGTTTAGATAATTTAGTTTAATAACTGAAGTGTTAACATAAACTGGACATCCAATGTCTTTGTTGTTTCAAAATAGCAGCTTTTACATACTTGACAGTGCTGCATGTGGACTACGCCTAGGCTGACGAGCCTTTACTATTACGCAAGTCACTCGGTTCACAGCAGATCAACACTATTTAAATTAGGTAAGTTATGTACTACATAGGTTACTGTACAGGAGGCGAGTGCAGAGGAACAATAGAGCAATGACAGAAGGGAGGAGGGAGGACGACTGGTACTGTGCATACCTGGAAGAGGGTTCTTGCCTGGCTCATTGTTACTGGGACTTCCTGACTGCTGCGAGTCTGCAAACACACAGAGAGGAGGGGGGAGGTTAGTATAGCACAACAATATACCTTCCCACTAAAGCACGATTTTCTTGTCAGCATTGATTACTTCCAGCAAGGATACCAGTATGGTAACTTACAGTAAAAAAGTAAATCAGAAGTCTTACTGTATTTACTAGCATTTATTCACTCCCCAGGCATCTTGAAATAAAGAAATAACTCCTGTCGACACGCACAAAGTGCAGTTCAGGACTCAAGATATTTCCTTCCTGGGTGCCTAAATGTTTTTCCTTATCTACCAGTCACAGAGAGCATACCTACTGTACATTAAACAAGACAGTTTTGTTTCAACAGCATTATCATTAATGGGAGGGCAAAGGGAAAAAAAAGCTCTGTGTCTGACACAGGATAGCCTAAAATTTTTTTACCAGAAGACCTCTGGGTAATTTTTCAAAGGGGCTGAGGGAGTGTTGGGGGATAGAGAATGTGTTCAGTCCTGCTGTGCAAGGTACGAGCACAGAACAAAATGTGGAGTGAGGACAGGAGGGGCGGGAAAATACAAGGAAACATGAGCGGAATTCTTTCCACCGGCAACGGTGCACAGGCTGTGGTATGAGATGGCCCGGACTGACGTCTTTTACCTCAAAGCCTCTCTGGGAGGGGAATCTATCATTCCTCAGTAGCTCCGGTCGATCACTGACAGCCATGAAGCCTTTTATCTTTTACACCACGCAACACGAAAAGTTGTGAAACATCAAAATTAAGACTATAACTCAATGTCAGATTTCAATCCGCGCAAAGAGTGATGGTGTTTTTCAAATAAAAAAACAACTGGCTCAACCTACTGTAGCGAGGCCTCACACCCATGCACGGAGTGGCACTGAATTGATGCCATGTCTAACAGTGAACGGCGGGGTCTGAGTGGACCCCCCATAATGACTCAAACTGGCCCGAGCCTACACATGCCCTGAGCAGAGAGGGCTCAATGAGAACCAGCAGGGAGATTATCATCTACGCCTTTAACACGAGAGAGCCGAGACAAGAAGCTCGAAACAGTGAACTCAGATACCCTCGCCTTGCAACAACACCCCTTTTCCTGCCACGGCTCTCATGAGCTGTGTTACAGAGGCAATGGAGAGAAGGAAAGAGAGGGGGGTGGGAGAGAAAGAAGAAAAAAAGTTGAAAGATTTATCCTTTTCTTGTTCTCTTTCTATGTCTCTCTCCCTCTCACTCTTGTTCCCCCTCTCCTAAATTTGACTATTAAACAGCACTGCAAAAACAGAATGTTCTTGGCCGAAGCTCAACAATGACAAAGTAGGGAGGGAACAGGACCATACGTTAAGGAGAAAAAAAATCCCCTCTTTTCTGAGTGCTTAGCCCTAAAAACGTACAAGAAATGTACAAGTCATGGTCTTACAATATTATCTCAGCTCAGCTTCCTAAAAAAGTAAAAGCTTAAGCCTGACTTGTCGGGTAGTCCTTCAGGTTTTAGGGGATCTCTGTACACACAGAACAGTTTTAACATGTTTATTTCTGTCTGTTTCTTCGTCTACAAATTGCCCGTCTCAATTTCCCAGAGCCCAAAGTGATGTCTTCAAATTGCTTATTTTGTCTGATGTGCGGTCCAAAACACAAAAGATATTCTATTTACAATGATATAAAACAGAGAAGAGCTGCAATTCTTTGAATTTGAGAAGCTGGAACAAGGCAGCGATTGGCATTTGTCCTTGTTAAATCACTTAAAATGCTAATCAATTACCAAAATTGAAGATTAAGTTTCTGTTAATCATTTCAATACTAACATCTGTGTTACATTGCAAGTTGTACACTCTTGAACATGTTCACGTCATTGTCTGGCCTCAGCGAAATACTTTCCTTTGCCTTGCACCAATAAGCGGCGAGTCCCTTTAGTTGCCCCCGACACACACACACACTACACGCACACACACACTCACACACATACATATGCATGCACACAGTCTAAAGCAGCTTTTGTGGGTGAGCAGAGGTTTGTGTGGATTTGGCATAGCACATGTCCATAAAGTGATTGCAGGGAGCTCAGTGGCCTTGTCTTGCTGTCTTCTCCCGCCCCCATGCCATTTTCAGAGTCATCCATCAGTCTAGTTGTGACTGCCAACTCCACGTTCGCTCCCCGAGAACTGCTGAGAGGGAAAGAAATGGGCAGCAGTGGGGTGGGGGCGTGGGGGGTGGGGGTGGGGGGGCAAGAGGCACAGGAGAGCGGAGAGGAGGTAGACGCTGAAAAAGGTGATGATGGGAGAAAAAGGGCGAGGAGGTGGAGGTGGGATCCGTGCGCCGGTACGTTCACATCAGATCAGAGTTTTTCATTTTCTTTTTTTTTTCTTCTTCTTCTTCGGCGAGGGCTGAACAGGCAAGCATGACAAAAAGAGCAGATGGTCGTGGCAATTAGAGATCCCAGGAAGCATCTTCCAGCATGAGGCCCCACTGCAGCACCAGGAGAGACCACCTGGATGACTCAAGGTGGGATGCTAGCATATGGCGCATCTGCCAGGCCTGCCCCGGACCTGGAAACACCTCCCCTATTGCATTACATTTTACCTTTGACCCAAGAAGGGCTGCTTCATGCTTCTTCTTCCAGTGTGATTTTATTATTTAGCACGTTGCTCGCACATTTGTCAGGCTGTGAGTTTGCTCTTTTTATCTATTTAAGACTTTATTTCAAATCTAGTCTGTTTTCTATCACAACAGGTATTCAAATAAAACCTATTTTATAAATTATGGGCAAGTAAAAAAAAAAGATAATTCTGCATTACAGAAAGTTGGATTCAATCAGAGATAAATTGACAATGAATTTTATTTTTAAAAAGGCACCTCAGAAAGTGCCAGAAATAAAGTTAAGAAGTGGGATCTGAGTCCTGGTATCTGTATCTGAAAGGTGTCCTGTGCAGAAGCCTGGTCAATCTGATAGTCTTCAAATAAACACTAGTGTAACCTGTAAATAAACAGTTGTGGTCGAGGAGGCTGGGCTTTGCCCTGGAAGCTTGGCAGGGCTTGATCACAGAGCCAGACACCACACACACACACACTCTGTCTTACACACACACACACACACACACATAAACACGCACGTACACACACGGCCCTTTTCCAAAAACAACATTTCTTGGCACCGTCCGTCCCTGCCACTTGTTTAAATAAACAAACCGGTTCATGAAGGAAGTGAAAAAACAGTACCACATATGAATCAGGTCATCGGCTGTTACTCAGCAAAAAAAAGCAAGTAAAAAAAAAAAAAAGCAGCAGAGGGGGCTTGTGGGTATTTTGGATGTGTCCACGAGTTCTTACACCTTCGTGTCCGGTGGGATACTTATCATACCACTGTAACGATTAGGGCAATTAGGGGTAATGGCAACAGAAATCTGGCTCGGGAAGAAAGTTTCTCAGTGCTCGTGAGGCGTCTCCACGCCCATGTGTGTTACTCGCCTGGATTTTATAATCACTTAAACACTCACACACACTCTCCCAAACCCACCCACTCATTTTTTGGCATGATACCCATACTGTTCCCACTAAATTGCGGAACACACATACACATACACATACACGCATGCAGTGTGGATTAAATTAGCCACACAGTTTGGGAAACTTTCTTTTTTTTTTGACAGCGGCGGTGCACGTTCCTAGCCCGCAAACACTTGCAGACACGTACAGATATCCTCCACAAAAAAACAGTGCGCACGCGCGACACGCACACCCTGCAGATGCATACCGCTGTCGACATTTCAGGAGGAGAAGCCTGTCTGGCAGCCATTTTATGCCGAGCGGGGTTCTGTGCACATGTATAGCACTCTGGCTGCCAGAGGCATGGGTCCCGAGCCAAGACGCATTTCAGCAGCCTGGGGAGGCGAGGGGAGGGGAGTGTGGAGGAGAGGTGGAGAGGGGTGGACTCCCAGAGAAGTAGGGAAACAGAGAGAGAGGGAGAGGGGCAGAAAATATCGACCTAATTACGGAGCAGCTCCGATGCGTAATGTTTCGACAATACAGCTGCTCCTGAGTAAATATTTGATGTGGCCGCGCAGCCTTACTGCTCAGTGTCCTCCTGCTTTTCTTTCCTGTTCTGCTGCAGGAGACTCCAGTTTGTCCTTCATTGAAAATGCACAGCCCAAATATGACTCTGTGTGTGTTTGTGTGTGTGTGTGTGTGTGTGTGTGTGTGTGTGTGTGTGTGCAGCACAGGGTCATGCAAGTCTTGACAGTATGCATAAATGACTGTACATGTGCCGGTATGTAATGTGTGTGTGTGTGTGTGTGTGTGTGTGTGTGTGTGTGTGTGTGTTTGTGTATGTATGTGTGTGTACTTTGTCCCGTGTCCTCCTCTGCTCCTGGTTTCTATCATTCACAGCTTTGTCGATGACCTCACACCACTCGGGCTGGCTTCCAGCAGCCAGCAGAACCTGCTCTCTTCTCCAAATCTCTTTCTTTCTTCTCCTCGCTATCTGTCTATCGCTGTCCCTGTGCCTGCAACAGTATCCGTCCTCTATTGTATCTTTTCATACCCGCCTCTGTGTATATCTACTATTCAGTGTGTATCTGTGACGATATCATCTTATCAAGTGAAAAGTGCACACTATCTTTTTTTGGAATTTAATGATTTTTTTCGCCCATATCCTCTTTTCTTTTTTTTAACACTTTTTCTTTCTTTTAATGTTTCCATCTGTGTTGGCGCTCTCCCCCCCTTGCTGCCTTTTTTTAATGCCCCCTCCGCTCTCTCTCTCTCTCTTTTTACCTCTTTGTCTCTCTATCTCTCTCTTCTCTCCCTCCCTCACGCTTTGTTGTCTAAACAAAGTGGCCTTTATCAGGATGAGCCGCAACCCAAACAAGCCAAACAAAAGATATGGGCGAGGAAATCTGCCCGCAGAAGAGGGAGGATCTTATCGTGCCAGCCATTGTGTGCCAGCCTGCCAACTGGCGATGCCCCCCACCGCCGACCCCTCCCCGCACTCACACACACACACACACACACACACCAAATGCTGGCAT